CTGGACGTAAATTTGCCTAGAAAAACCACACAACAACCAGGGGCAACTAGGATATACAACTAACCAATTAATTATAACAGTAATGATTAGATAATTTACTGAATGGCAAATAAATATAAAACACTGGAAATACAGGTCTAAACCAGCGATATCCAACAGGAACCCGACGGCAGCTCTGTGAAGATAAATACAGATGAAAGCTAACTACAGATTTAAAAAAATGAACACTAAAATCTGCTGCTCCTAGCTCAAACATTACTGGCAGTCGGAGAGAGTTGCATACAGAAATAAACAAGAAACTCTTATACTCCTCTTTATCGGCACCCACAAATTAACTCGAGAGACATACAGTGCGGTAGGTCTTAGGATTCGACATATAAACTGTTTCTAAACACAGCTATCCAGTCAAAAAAGGTTAGGAATGAACTGGTATAAATATTTTATAGAGAGATTGCTACACGTGGTTATAATACGCTTCCTAGTACTTTTAGAAAACTACTCCTTGTTTTGTTTGTGTCGGCGAGCCCGCAACCCCGCCCCCTTTTTCCCCTAAAAAAAAGCTTATATTTGTAATTGTTAGTTGTAGTTTGGCTGGTTTACTGGCTGGCTGCTCGTGAAACATTTACATTCTTATCCCTGAGTCCGATGCTAAATTCAGGGACAAGAATCTCTACAGCAATATGCCAGGTGGCTTAGTCTCTCTCAACAAAACAGCTTGTCACCTGCTAAAAGTGTCGAATAAAGCATGAACTTCGCAGCTCTAGCGACAATTCGCAGGGTTCTCTGTAAAACTGCATTGATGAATTGAACAACGCAGCCGTGGAAGAGACCACAACCTTCAGAGCTCGAGGCAAACGGTTTGACCACTTGGCCACAGAGATCTCCGTGAGTTCCGATATATGCAGATCTTTCTGTTCTTCTTACGGTCTCTTGATTTACTTCCAGTTTTTAAAGGCGTAAAAAAATATAGGGAAGAGAAAAAGGGGGTCAGAAAGAACAAATAGTTTAAGCTAGCTTTACAAAATCAATCACAATAAACAAACAGAGGACGTTGCGGCGATTAGCCTTCATCGGCACATAGAGAACAAAACAGTACGCATACACAAATATGCTCTAACTATGAAGTGACTACACAGGACTCGAATGTACAAAATGAATGATACTCATCTTTGTTTTTACTCCAGGACGCAGCTAAGTCCCTTTACCCACCTTCTCCAGATGTCCACGCCCTAGCCATCATATGCAGCTCGTCCCATTTCGTCACCTCCCTCATAACAATCTATCATTTGCGTGTTTCTTTAAATATCTTACTTCCCGTAGGAAACTGCAACAGCGTAGTAGCTAGATGCTTGTCTGCCGGCCGCAAGCTCTTGGACTTCGAATCCGCTTCCATGTAGACTCTGCGTCTAAATAGTTACCAGAAATATTCTTCTCCTCCTGCTCCTTCTTCTGCTTCTTCTTCCTTTTTTTCTTCTTCTTCTGGTTCTTCTTCTTCCTCCTCCTCTGCTTCTTCTTTTTCTTCTTATTCTGATTTTTCTTCTTTCTTCTTCTTCTTCTTCTTCTTCTTCTCTTCTTCTTCCTCCTCCTCCTCTGCTTCTTCTTTTTCTGGTTTTTCTTTCTTTTTCTCTTTCTTCTTCTTCTTCTTCTTCTTCTTCTTCTTCTTCTTCTTCTTCTTCTTCTTCTTCTTCTTCTTCTTCTTCTTCTTCTTCTTCTTCCTCTGCTTCTTCTTTTTCTTCTTCCTCTGCTTCTTCTTCTTCTAATTCTTCTTTCTCTTCCTCTGCTTTTTTTTTCCGTCTGCTCTCGGTTGTGTCTGATAAGGTCAGACAGACAGGTGGACTGCCTCTATAAACAGTTGTAGCTCCTCCTGGGTTCCCCGAAATTTGCTCTGCATACTTTGTTGTAGAGGCTATGCTTCTGTTCGCAGCTGTAATTACACTGGACTTGCTTACAGAATGTACCCACGTGTTTGTGGTCCGGCATGCCCACTGTAGGGACTGTGCAGTCTTTATTTTATGCACGATGTAGTTAAGCCTGAAGTGGCCTCTTTTAACATTTGCTGTTGTTTATTGCTGTCTGCTACAAGAAACTGAAGACTTAGGATTCAGAATATTGCTGATGTGGTCCAAGAATTCATAACCTGTACTACAAACATGCTCGGTGTATGCAGTAGAGAGATCCCAGAGCTGGCCGGTCGGCATTCCAAAGGAAACCAAGCTGCGTGGAACAGGGAATGACATGCGTGGAACCACAGACTTCACAGAGGCCGCTGCCCTTCTCATGTGAAAAACCACAGGCAGGAAAAAGGAAAACAAAAAGGATCCGCATCACGCCCGTCCCCCCCCCCCCCCAACTAAGACTGACTAAGGGTGTGAGATAATGTAATGGGATGTAAAAGCGGCCGGCAAGATGTAGAAACACATCACACACTCAGTGCTGCTTAAACCAGCATCATTTATCCTTTTTATTCCTGTTGTTTTGCATAAGGACCCACGAAAGTCGAAAAGCATTGAATAGGGAGCCTTTATCGAGAAGGGGCTGGGGTAGATAGCTTCTTCCCGGGCAATGATGCATCATCTAAACGGCATGTGTGTTGCAGTGCCCTCTTTCCCTTCTCCATGTGCAGGAACCAGTCTACGAATATACAGTACCATTCGCTGACTGTATCTACCGCGACTTGGACTGTGCAGGTGAGAATTTTATTTCGCTCCCGACAGAAACAATCCTCAGGCTTACCGAGATTCGAACCCGGGTCTCCCGCTTGAGATCCTACGTTCTAACCATTCAACCAGCCACTCCTTGTGGGTTTAACGATTAAACAAAAACTGTAATGAACACAAATCTAGCAGTACAGCCTAGACAAAGACATAACAGCTTCAACACAAGAAATGTGATGGTAATCCAGCAACAAGAATAACATGCTGAAACACATGTGTGTAAGCTGTACGTAAAATCGTTCCGCTTGTCGTGAATTTAGCAATCATAATCCATCTGACAAGACAAAACAAACGGAGCTAACAAAAACCATGCTCTAGAGATTATACATGAGAGGCGAGGATGAAATAAAACAAAAAGCGGAACGTCAAGAGAACCTCCCCAGCGCCCCCAAGCAGCAAGCTCCAGAATGGGAGAACATTACAAATGGCAAATTCTAATCTATATGACTTTACAGCCGTGTGTGTCGGGGTCACCGTGCCCTGCAGCACACATGTGATATAGGCGGGTGTCAGGCACGTATGTGCAGTCGCAGGTTAAGATATTTCTTCTACTCCTTCTTCTTCTTCTTCTTTTTCTTCTGCTTCGCGTTCACTATCTGTAAACTATGGCGGAAAGTTCTGGTTGTTTCTCTACTTCTGGACTGTAAGTCTTGTTACAGAATCTGAGTGCGGTGTGCAAATTCGTTCAACAGATCTGACTTGACTGTATGCAGACTGTAAGTTTCCTGCCTCTCAGGCAGATGCACTCCGACTTCGAAGGGAGACAGTATGTCAATTCTTGTTTTCTCCACACTGGGGCAACTGAACCACCACGGGGAATTAGGGTAGTTATTTCTGCCCCAGACTGAAACAAAGTTTCCATTCATTACCAAGGATGAAACCCGAGGCCCTCGCACCAGAGACCAGTGCTGTAACCACTCAGCTAGCAGACCATGATGCGTGCACATAAATAAGATCTAGGCAGAAGCTGTATGGGCGTCGTTGTCCACACGTGGGGAAAACCGTGGCTAAATCAAACGCACTAATGTCGGCGCAATTAAATGGATTAACTCGCAAAGATAACTGGGTTTTTTTTTTTTTTTCATTGATTTTTTCATAGATTCTGCTGAGAAACAACCGACCCGGCTGCTTCGAGATACCAGCTAAGTGATTTTGTGTATTGGTGTAGTATTGTTTTATTTGTATGTGCTGATAAAGGCTCAATAGCCGCAAAGTTTACGTTTTGTTTGTATTTGTTGTATTGTGAAGCTTGCTAATATACCTTTCGTTCGGTTGTATACTCTTTTCTTGTTATTTTTTTTTTTCAGAAGCAGACATTCAACATTGCTCGTCATGTTATGAAGAAAAGGGCCTAATTTGTAGTACACTATACACCGAAGAAGTCTGGTGGAAAGATTGGTAATGGGGGAATTTGGTGAGACATAGTAAAGTATCATAGCAACAAGAAGAAGAATGAAACACAAGCAGGAGGAGGTGTAGCAGGTGTGTGAAAGGATGAGGCGGGAAAAATGGAGGATGCAAACATTCCACTTGCACATTTCCTGTAAGATATTCTCTAGCTGTGTATCTGTTCCCATGGTGCAAACATTCCACTTGCACATTTCCTGTTAGACGTTCTCTAGCTGTGTATCTGTTCCCATGGTGCAAACATTCCACTTGCACATTTCCTGTAAGATATTCTCTAGCTAGGTATCTGTTCTCATGGTGCAAACATTCCACTTGCACATTTCCTGTAAGATATTCTCTAGCTGTGTATCTGTTCCCATGGTGCAAACATTCCACTTGCACATTTCCTGTTAGATGTTCTCTAGCTGTGTATCTGTTCCCATGGTGCAAACATTCCACTTGCACATTTTCTGTAAGATATTCTCTAGCTAGGTATCTATCCTCATTGTGCAAACATTCCACTTGCACATTTCCTGTTAGATGTTCTCTAGCTGTGTATCTGTTCCCATGGTGCAAACATTCCACTTGCACATTTCCTGTAAGATATTCTCTAGCTAGGTATCTATCCTCATTGTGCAAACATTCCACTTGCACATTTCCTGTTAGATGTTCTCTAGCTGTGTATCTGTTCCCATGGTGCAAACATTCCACTTGCACATTTCCTGTAAGATATTTTCTAGCTAGGTATCTATCCTCATTGTGCAAACATTCCACTTGCACATTTCCTGTTAGATATTCTCTAGCTAGGTATCTATCCTCATTGTGCAAACATTCCACTTGCACATTTCCTGTTAGATATTCTCTAGCTAGGTATCTGTTCTCATGGTGCAAACATTCCACTTGCACATTTCCTGTAAGATATTCTCTAGCTAGGTATCTGTTCTCAAGGTGCAAACATTCCACTTGCACATTTCCTGTTAGATATTCTCTAGCTGTGTATCTGTTCTCATGGTGCAAACATTCCACTTGCACATTTCCTGTAAGATATTCTCTAGCTGTGTATCTGTTCTCATGGTGCAAACATTCCACTCGCACATTTCCTGTCAGATGTTCTCTAGCTGTGTATCTGTTCCCATGGTGCAAACATTCCACTTGCACATTTCCTGTCAGATGTTCTCTAGCTGTGTATCTGTTCTCATGGTGCAAACATTCCACTTGCACATTTCCTGTCAGATGTTCTCTAGCTGTGTATCTGTTCCCATGGTGCAAACATTCCACTTGCACATTTCCTGTTAGATGTTCTCTAGCTGTGTATCTGTTCTCATGGTGCAAACATTCCACTTGCACATTTCCTGTTAGATGTTCTCTAGCTGTGTATCTGTTCTCATGGTGCAAACATTCCACTTGCACATTTCCTGTAAGATATTCTCTAGCTGTGTATCTGTTCTCATGGTGCAAACATTCCACTCGCACATTTCCTGTCAGATGTTCTCTAGCTGTGTATCTGTTCCCATGGTGCAAACATTCCACTTGCACATTTCCTGTCAGATGTTCTCTAGCTGTGTATCTGTTCTCATGGTGCAAACATTCCACTTGCACATTTCCTGTCAGATGTTCTCTAGCTGTGTATCTGTTCCCATGGTGCAAACATTCCACTTGCACATTTCCTGTTAGATGTTCTCTAGCTGTGTATCTGTTCCCATGGTGCAAACCTTCCACTTGCACATTTCCTGTCAGATGTTCTTCAGCTGTGTATCTGTTCCCATGGTGCAAACATTCCACTTGCACATTTCCTGTAAGATGTTCTCTAGCTGTGTATCTGTTCTCATGGTGCAAACATTCCACTTGCACATTTCCTGTTAGATATTCTCTAGCTGTGTATCTGTTCTCAAGGTGCAAACATTCCACTTGCACATTTCCTGTCAGATGTTCTCTAGCTGTGTATCTGTTCCCATGGTGCAAACATTCCACTTGCACATTTCCTGTCAGATGTTCTCTAGCTGTGTATCTGTTCTCATGGTGCAAACATTCCACTTGCACATTTCCTGTTAGATATTTTCTAGCTATGTTTCTGTTCTCATGGTGCAAACATTCCACTTGCACATTTCCTGTCAGATGTTCTCTAGCTGTGTATCTGTTCCCATGGTGCAAACATTCCACTTGCACATTTCCTGTCAGATGTTCTCTAGCTGTGTATCTGTTCTCATGGTGCAAACATTCCACTTGCACATTTCCTGTTAGATGTTCTCTAGCTGTGTATCTGTTCTCATGGTGCAAACATTCCACTTGCACATTTCCTGTTAGATGTTCTCTAGCTATGTATCTGTTCTCATGGTGCAAACATTCCACTTGCAAACTTCATGATCCCGATGCTTTTGCACTCAGTGGCCGCCTGTCGACGGTCTGTATTCACCTGGTGCAGGTGTGTTCCCTACCTGTGCAGGAATCTTCTTTACTACACCAGTGTTCCTCAACATTTTAAAGGCCGTGGCCCACCAAGACAGGGGCAGCTAACCCAGCACAGAAACAAAGACAACTGTAGATGGCAGTTTAATTCCGAAGTCACATAATGTCAGCCGATGTGGCATCTGTTGATTCTCACCCTTGAGGTGTTAAACACTACAAACTGCAACCCTTAAAACTGCAATTCTGGAAGAGAAAAAGCTACCGAGCCTCAATCGTTAAGTCTGCTTCTTCTTCTTCTTCGATCCTGCTGTCAGAAAACTTATATCAGGAGGCCGGTAGCCTTTATGAAAGCTATCGTGCAATCCATATCCTCTTGTGTACCATACAGTTTTGTCTTCATTGTGGTTGGAACAGGCCAGATTGCGTCTCTGTTGTCAGCATACAGTTGACAGTGTTGGAGCACATGCTCAGCATTTTCGGGTGCCATGCTGCAGGGACACGTCTCCGTATTTCCTACACCGAAAAATTTGAACATATGTTGACGAAATCTGTTGTGCCCTGGCCTTAGTCTGAATATAATAGACTGTCCCTCTCTAGAGAGGCGATGAAGTGAGTCTTGGGGAGAAAATCTGGTGTGGGTATCCAGCCACCTTTCTTGGATACTAGATTGTATTAGTGTTTTCATCTCTTGGTGGGTTAAGTCGCTATTTGGTTGTACCATGTCACTGCCGCTTCTGGCCAATCTGTCCGCTATTTCATTGCCTTCCAAGCCACAGTGACCTGGAATCCACTGCAGTACAGATTGTTCTACTGAAAAGCCTAAGTAAATCAGCTGTTGCGTCAAGTCTACAAACTGAGTGTCTTTTGGGTTAACAATTGCTTGTAGAACTGACATAGCATCAGTCAGAAAGACCACTCTGCTATATTTGCTGTGCTGTTGTCCATTCAGGAAAGAACATGCCGCTAGAAGTGCTTCTGCCTCTGCTCTGTAATTGGAGGAATATGAACCTGTTGGTACAGCCTGGTTGATTTTTAAACCATTTGGGCATTCTATGTATATTCCTCCTCCTCCGTCTCTTACTGCTCTCTTGGCTGCACCATCTGTATACACTCGAATCCAACTCTGGTGTGGGTAAAGTCTATTGATCTCTCCTTCTGTAGTTGATTTCATATCAGTGCTGCTCATTGATGATTTGGAGGAGACCCTTGTTATAGTGGTTCTGACTGTTGGTAGGCTATCCCTAAGCCAAGCGGGGCAGTCGTTGTAAGGTTTAAGTGGAACATTTGGTATTATGGGAGGGAGTTTAAGGACAGCGAGCTTGGCATTTGCGTTCTTAATAAAGCAAGTTCTCTTTAGTCTAGCCTTCTGGGGTTTCTGTAGTCGGCTGTACATGGGTTGTTCTTGAAAGTGGTGGTATTTGGAGAGCTGCGTGAGGATCTTTGTGTCTCTCCTATCTTCCAGATTATGGAGACCAGTAATTGTTTCCATATCTGATATGGGTGTGGAGCGCATTGCCCCTGTCATAATACAAAGAGCATGGTTTTGGATCTTTGAGACTTTCTGAAAATTTGATTTAGCTGCTGTGCCCCAAGCAGCTATTCCATATTCTAGTGTTGGCCTCACATAGCCTGTATAGGTCCTCTTAAGGACATTGAGGTTTGCCCCCCAGTCTGTTCCAGCTAACTTGCTCATCAGTTGTGTTCTCTTGAGTCCCTTGCTCTGTGTCTTTTCTATCTGTTTTCTCCATGTGAGTCTTGAGTCAAAGGTTACTCCTAAATATGACGGTGAGTCATCATGTATCAGTGTCTGGCTGCCATATCTAAGTGAAACTTTCTGGGGTTTGGTAGAGAGACTGAAAATGGTGTGTGTGGTTTTGGCCCCATTTACAGGCATGTACCAGCTATTGGACCACCTCTCTAGAGTTCCGAGGGATTTTTGAAGCCTTGTCTGTGCTTTTTCAGTGTCCTCCTCTGAACTCAGTAGCGCCAGATCATCGGCATACATAACGGCTTGAACTCCATTACAGAGGGTTGATTTTATGTCGTTAATGTAAACTAGGAAAAGAATTGGGGACAGAACTCCGCCTTGTGGAACTCCATGTGTCATTGAGACTGATCTGCTCCTTGAACCCTGTATCTTGACTCTTGCAGATCGATTTTCAAGATATTTTACGATCCACCCAAGCATGTGATGGGATATTCCACTTTCAAGTAGCTTTTGTTTCAGCCCATTTTTCCACACTTTGTCGAAGGCCTTTTCCATATGCACCCAAACTGCAATAGTGTGCTTTTTTTCCTGGAATGCATCTTCAATGTGTTGAGCAATAAATGTAATTTGGTCTTCTGTTGATCTACAACGTCGTTAAGTGATAAGTCTGAATTTGTGTCTGACATACCTGGACTTCACTCAGGGGCCACAATTTTGAAAATGAGGATCGTCACGGCCAGACACGGCCGACTCGAGCATATAACATGCCATCTAGATCAACGAAAATTTCCGTTTTTGTGAAAGTCTGTTAGACCTATCTGTTATCAATTTTTATCGAGTAGATCCATGCACAAATAAATTAAAGCTTAATGAATCATTTTAGAAATAAATAAGTGTGCTATTTAAAATTGTTTATATGAAGCTTTATATAAGCAAGGATGATTTAAGATCAGTATTTTTTTTTTTTTTTTGGGGTGTAAATGAAAAAAATTGAGGGATGTGGAATGGAAACTTTAAGTGAAGGCCTGCCTTCAAATTGTTTAATGCTTTAACTAGACAATGTCAAATAACAAGTTTACTAACATTTCCTTACCCTAATATAAAAAATATTTTAAAAAATAAAATAAAAAAAATAAAAAGACTGCAGCTTGGAGTAGCTTATTTGATTATAGCTGAAGGACCATCTTCTATATGTCAGATACATGATACTGAACATTATTTACTATACTGCCAGAACACTACAATTACATTCCTCCTCCAACCTCCCCCACCCAATGAATATGAGATACATAGCAATAACCCTATTAGAATTGAAAACATGATGGAAGTAGACAGCTCTAGAGAGCTACAGGGAAGGATTAAACAGGACATCACAAAAATAGACGTTAGCATTTGAATGTTAATATATCTTAAGACAGCTGGTGTAATGAGGGATATTTTCACCCAGATTAGGAAGGTTGGGGGGAAAGCCCAAGGTTAACCAAAATACCGAGATATTCCAGATACTCGGATGAAACGATGTTTTCAAGATCGGTGATGACCACGAGTTATCACGTGTAACACGATGATAGCGACTACAGCTCGCCACGTGGAAGTAAAGGACCACCACGTGTTGCCACGTGAAACTAACCCGTAGTATAAGTTCGAACCCTAGTCTGATCAAGTTAGTATGTGTTGAACTGTCGGAGCGAAAGGACGGGAGATTGATTGTAAGAATGTCAACGTGAGATTGCCTGATGTGAAAGGAAAAACCAGAAGACGACATTTGAAGCCAAGACCAGCCAGGCCAGTCTGTATAATATCAAGAAGATGAACCAGATACATCTTTGCAAACTCTGGTCAATGACTGCGTGAGGAACCAGCATGTTGAAGTCTGCGTGATGTACTGTGTGAAAGCTGTTTCAGTTATGTCCCAGTTATGTCATCGTTGAATGCGT